GCAGAGAACGAAACTCACTTAAGTTTTACTTTCAGTGCACATCAGGCTTCGGCCTTCGGTGATCAGAAGCAATCTTTGACACTAAACTTCGATTTGACCTATCAACTCGTGAATCATGTCTATCATCAAGTAACAACTTATGTCAGTGAGGAATATGATCACTAGTTCAAAAAAAAAATTGATCAAAACGTCTACTATAAATATCTACTTAGTAGGACATGATTGTAACATCAATGCAAAAACTATATATATATATATATATATATATATATATATATATATATATATATATATATATATATATATATATATATATATATATTCAAAAGTATCAATAAAATCTATCTCTATTTTGTTTTGTGGAAATAGTTTGATTAGCTCTAATCAAACTGATTAACAACCTTAAATCTTTGTGTCATTTGTTGTTACTCACATCTTTATCATCGTATTTGTGTATTTGTGTTTATCGGAGTTTTTAATTATAATATCTTTGGATTCTAAGCAACAACATGATTTAAGTTTGTGGGTATAGGTCCTCACATCCGGATAGGTTTTTTTGTCACTTCATAAATCATTGTCATTCTCCATATCATTCAATTTTAGCTACGAAACCAAAATAATTACATCTTATAATAGTTTTAAATTTTTTATAAAATAAGGACAACTATTAATGCATGAACTACAACTCTTGATTCAATGGAATGTCGTTGCCTTGTGTTGAAAGGACAACACCTCTTAACATAACACACACGAAGCAGGACTAGTGTTGCTTAGCCCTTAATGGCATTGAGCCTTTGCCACAGAGAATTTGAGGAACGTTGTAATCTAAAATCTTGAGTTAAGGATTCCAGCGATAAAATTAGCTTGTAAAACGAACTTGGTTTCGTAGTAAACAGTAAGCAAATATCCCATTCAGATAGTCATTTTAATCGGGTTCTTACAAGTTCGTTAGTTTAAGGAACTGGTTTACACTTTTGACATACACACTACAATCCTATCTCCTAACAATCTTTACCATTTGTAACCCTACAAGAAGGTAACACTAAAAATGATTAACCTTTTAGTAGGACATAATTTTGCGATTATGTTTTATATATTTGAAACTACTTTATAAAACACTTGACGAAAAATCATACTAAAAAAAGTACACATGATTTACAGTTATGCAGAAAGTCACGTATACATTAGAAGGACGAAAGATCAACACAGAGGGAATAGTTGGGGCCGGAGGATCGGCAGCGATAAATAATAAGCTTCCATAAACCGACCTTCCGACACCATTTTCACGATGAACTTCTTCAATATCACAAACGGACATGCCACCACCCGCCACTGCACTGTGGGTCGCCACCTCAGACACAGCCTCCGATGTTTGTTTCCCAACCTAATTGTTCTACTCTTCCGTCTCATCAGCCTGCGGCGTGGGCGGCACCACCCGACCATGGTGGTGGAATTAGCAAACACAGAGATGGTGATAGCTCCTCTTCGGAACATGGGGATGGTACAAATAAGTTTGTTTATGGGGATTGATATAAATAGTTTGGAATGTTTTGTTGAAGGGTTTTTGAATCTAATTAATTGATAAAGTGCTATAGTGGTCCTATCCAGTGGAGATCAATGATCACCATGATTATGGTGATGGGGGCATGGGGCTCGAGGCGTTTTAAATCTTCAGGGTTGCGAGGGTGATGATGAGATCGAGTTGTCTTTTGCTTTATACGCACAAATGTCCTTTTTACTAACCCTTGAAACCAGTATCATGATTCCATGGGTGCTAATAAAGTTGTTATAAACTTATAATCTCTCTAAGCCATCCATATAAATATATGAATATGTCTATTTGAAAAAAAAAAATCTCTCTTCAGCCATCCATATAAATATATGAATATGTCTATTTAAAAAAAAAAAAAAAAAAAAAAAAAAGTTGAAAACGTACGACATAAATATGATCTAAAATTCTAAATACTAAAATATGTTTACATATTTATTAATTAAATACAGATTAATAACTATGTATTTTAATTAAATTATAATAAATTAAAAATGATTTCTTAAAATCTAATAAGAATGATTTATCATTATCTAAAACAATGGTTAATCCATGCATGCTATTTTTATTAACCAAAAACATAATTTTTGATCTTTGTGCTTTTTTAAGATTTGAAAATTAATCTTTAAGTTTAAAAAATTTCACAGATATCATTGTACTTATAAAACTTTTTCAAAACTTTTAATGTTTGGTTTTTTTTGCTAACTCTGCTAGTTGAAGTCATTTTCATCATTTCGCTACTCAAGGGACCATTTATGAGGTTTTCTCTAATTTCTTTTAAAAAAAAAAATAATAATAATATGGAAATGGTCATCTCTCTCTCTCACACACACATATTAACCACCAGTAAAACTCATACGTTCCATTGTTAATCTCTTTTATTCATTGGCCTCTGCCCGTTGTAGTCCCCTTCCTCACCGTTGAACACCATGTTGCCATACATCCTTTACTTTATTATAAGTTGGAATATTTTATTTCCATAATACCTATTTATCAAATGTGTTAATCAACAGAGAATGACGAATGCTATGAATTGAACGAGTACCCATTTGAAAGGCACAATTGAACAATCGATACAGTAAGTCGAGTAGGATTGAAAAATACGTGATTTCTATCAAGAACTCGCTTACTCTTTGGATTTCGATTATATATGTATTCCATGGCCCTTCATCGTCACGGTGACAGTAAGTGAATTTGTTATCCTTACTTAACGAAACTGTTAGAATCAATGAAACAATAAATAATTGAATCACTAAACTTTTCGGCATTTCAGAATCCGAAAATGGGGAAATGAAATCGTCTACCCCAAAATCACAAATCTTTATACCAAGAAACCTCCATTTATTCAAGGCGAAAATCGAGCTCTTTAAACCAAGAGAGCTCCAAAATCAGTATTCAGTAAAAAAAAATCGATCTTCAACCAGTTCACATCCACCACCTTCACCTGCCATTCAGATTCAGAATCGAAATTTGATCTTCAGCCAACTTGACGTAGGGTTTCGTGTTCATCCCTAAAATCAAGATTATTTTGAAACTGAAAGAGAAAGTGAAATGGTTAGGAGAAAGATGAAGAAAAAATAGAGAGGGGACGATTGCAATTTACAATGGCAATGTTGGAGTTCCGGTCCTAATCGGAGTTTTGTTGTTCGTCGTATATCTTAGTTTCTAAGGAAACACACACACCTCCACCTGTGTTATGCACTGGTCTTTTGGGAATCATTGAAACAATGACTATGGCGGTGGCAATGGGGTTCAATCTTCTTGAGGGTCAACAAAGGAGATGTTGACGATGGGTTGGGAATGCTGGAAATGTGGTGGGTACAAAGATGTTACAGATGTCCGTGTATGTATGTGTGCGTATGAGAGAGAGAGAGAGAGAGAGAGAGAGAGAGACTTTTGTATTAAATAATTATATTTTTCTTTTTCTTTTTTAATAAAAGAAAACCCAATAAATGGTCCTCTGGAGTAGGGGAATGACTGAAATATCTTTCACTTGACGGCCAAAAGTTGAGGAACTTAACAAAATGGATCAAATATCAAAAGTTTTGAAAGCATATGGACCATCTATGAAATTTTTTGAACTTAAGGACTAAATTTCAAATATATGAAAAGCACAGGGACCTAAAATGATGTTTTTTCTTTTATTAACGTAAGATTAAAAAAAGAATACAAAACTACAAAAATGGTCACTACGGTTTACCAAAGATCACAAACTTAGTATCTATTAAGTTTTTTAAGCGTAGATGGTGTTTGTAGTTTGCAAAACTTGCATGTATGATCTTAGTTGTTGACACCATCAATATTCGGCCATTTTAAAGATTGAATTCATATGGATTTCTTCGTCTTTGCAGATAGAAGAGGAGGATTTAAATTTGGGACCTCATCCCTTTCTCCATCATCATCCAAAACCCTACCCAACTAGAGTAGTGTAAAACTTTTTTTTATATTTCCAAAAAGTAATTAATATTATTTAAAATCGTAATAATATTAATAATAAAAAAATTAAGAAAACATAAAACAAAATATATTTTTAGTATATTGTAAAAAATAGACTTTTTACAAACTATTTATATGTTTTTCTACGTATTTGTTTTACATAAAATAATTTTTTATGTATTTAAAAAATAAGTCTTTGTATAATATGTTATTACGTTACTATGATCTTAAAATATATATTCATGTTTTCATAAAAATATAATTTTGTAGTTATTTTTTTTCGATTTCACGTAAAAAATATGTTTTTTTACGTATTTATTTTATATAAAATATGTTTTTGTGTATTCAAAAAATACGTTTTCACATAATATATTATTACGTTGTTATAATCCGAAACTAGAGACGTCCAAAGTATATTTTAGGTTATAACAACGTAATTACATATTGATAAAGTGCCCTCAGCACGAGTTAAGAGTCACGCTCAGACGCACCAGAGAACTCCCCAAGGCAGATCATGCCTTACGGAGCAAGCCAAATGGAACCTCGAGCATAACAGGGGCGCATTCTACTTCGCGACAAAGCATAAAAGTTCCAGACGACAAGGAGGATGCTCACCGCATGACCACATGAACCAATCGTTGGCTCTGACAAAACAAGGAGCACGATTACCCAATCAATGCGCTCAATCCTATCGGATCTGACGCCCTTGTCTCGTACGAACTAGCAGAGAGCCTCAGTATAAAAGGTCTCATCCGATACCCAGAAAAGTAAGTCACTCTCTCCTAGTTTAGTCCTAAAGATATCCAAATCCATCCACTAACTTAACCGTCAGAGCATTTTCCCGGGATCCTCCTCCCGGAGAACGGTAGACAGTTCCAGCTTGTTATAACCTTGTATGTTCATCAGAATAGCTAGAAGCAACAAAGATCAACGCCCGGTAACAAGGTTACATCATTTGGTGTCATCTAGAGTGTGACAAACAACAAACCAAAAGCACACCTCTTGACACATGTAGATGGCATCCGGCAACACCGGTGGAGCTAGTGGGACACCGACGAGCCCCATCAGGCCTATGATGGCCTTGGAACCAATCACTGCTCCCATCTTCACACCAATTACCAGTGAAACACCACAACAAAACGGCTCAACAATAACTATTGCTCCAATGAGTGAATTATGGAGACCAATCGTTGAAGAACCAACATCCTACACCGTCGTGTTGACATTAAATGCCTCCGTACAAACTCAACAACTAACGATGATCTCAAGTAGCATGGCACCACCAATAGCGAACAACGTCAACGGCGTGCCGGTTATCTCACAAGTGTCACCGCTAAACAAGATTACGAGAGAACAAACGACAGTTTCCCAAACACTCCCATTTACGACAAGCATACCCTTCAACACAAAAATCCCATAACACCTTCTGTTCATGTCAAACAACTTGTTCGCACCTAACCTACCCCTCCTAACAACCCAGCAACTGACCTTCCCATTCCAGCAACAAAGCTTTTATAGCCCAACTCTAGGGCACCTTTCAGCGTACAACAACATGCTAGTACAACCATACCTCACCGCTCATCGGTTCAACACCCAGGCCGCTTTCTCCATCCCAAACAAAGATTATGTATCGCAAAGCATGACATCTCTATTGAGGTCAAAAGTTGTGAGGTGTCAAAGTTTGTCTAGGTCATTCTTAGTATCGAAAGTTTGTTTGTTTGTTTATTATAAGGGTAGTGTTAGGGTTGAAATTGTAATGTTTAGTCCCTTATATTTTTTGTACACTTTGGTTATCCCTATAAATATGGGATGGGTACTAGAGTTAGAGATGTTCTCAGAGTCTTCGACTTTTACTCTCTATTTTTCTCTCTGTATCTTTTCAAAGCGTAATCGAGCCATACAAATCATATTTACTTCTCATGTTCATAATTCGTCATATACTCTGATCTAGTTTCATATATTCGATTAATTACAACTACATTTGGTATCAAAGTAGGATTCATTCAGTTTTGATATGATTTTCTTAAGTTTCCAAAAGGTTTTGAGTCTTGTTCTAGATTCAGAATATTCTGCTCTTTTGATTCTGAAAATTATCACAGATCATTTGTTTTGATTCGATTCTACTTGCGGCTTGTTGGATCGAGTATTTTGTGTAAGTTTTCTGGAAGTTTTGCCAATCAATTTTCAATTTCTGAAGCTTTTCACAAATTTAATTCGTACAATAATGGCGAACTTTAACATGAACATCATGACTTCATACTCTCATCTTCTTGGTTTATCCACAGAAATTCCTATGTTGATTCCGGAATTTTATGATCAATGGGTGGATTGAATGGAGGACTATCTAAATGGAATAGATGAGGATCTCTGGAAATGTATCACTGAAGATGTTCGTGCTCCTACTGCAATGCAAAATGTTGGAACTGCTACTAACAATCCAGATGTTGCTCAACAAGCTTAGAAACTGCTGAAAAACGAGAAATGATGCTTGTGTCATTACATGGTGCACTTCCACCTGTTTTGTGAAACTATGTGCGTAGTTGTAAGACATCAAAGGAAATTTGGGAAACTTCGAAGGAAAAGTACCAAGGCAGCGAGAAAACAAAGATTAGTTCAGTGAAACAATGTATGTTGGAGTTAGAAGAGTTTAAACAGAATGAAGGAGAATCAATTGAGCTCCATTATGACCATCTGAATGAACTCATATATAAATTCAATAGACATGGAGTTACAGGGTCAACAATGGAGTTCAACTTCACTTTTATCATGGGACTTCGCAAGGAGTGCAGAAATGTTAGCCTACTGATAAAAACTCAACAAAGCTTCGATTATTTTTCTCTCAATGACTTATATAATGTGTTGAAGGCACATGAAAGCAAAGTGAATGAGATTGTTGAAGAAGCTAGAGTTAATCTAGGTGGTCCTTTGACACTAATGTTGAAGGTTACTAGAAGAGAAACTGAGAAAGAGACTGTTGAGAAAGAGCGTTTTGAAGATGAAGGATTAATCGTCAATTCTGATGACGAAGCAGTTGCACTCTATTCAAATAATCAATTGAAGAAATTCTTCAAGAAGTCGTTTAATCCAAAAAGAAGAACAGGTGAGGTAAAAGGAAATCTTTCTGGGAAGTATGTGAATCAAGAAAAGAAGGTTAAGAAAAAGGAAGTGAACAGTGAGGGTGGGAAGGCTGAGAAAAAGCTAAAGGGAGATTCTGGATTCAACCGCCATTATCGCAATGGAGTGAATCACATGGCAAGTGATTGCATGTTGAGGAAGCGAGATGAGAAGAAGATTAGAGTAAAGGGTGAAGCCTACAACGTGGAGAGGCTTGAAGAAGTGAGAGCGAGGACTAAGGGGATGTCTTTAGTTGCGAAGGGTTTTGATGATGAGGAAGGGATGTATCAAAATTTGTCATTAGGATCCGATGCCGAGGAGATGCAAAACCCTACTCATGGGGATATGTTCGCAAATTATGAGGATGAGGATGAGGAGGTGATCACTGGGAGGTGCTTCATTTCAACAATTGCTTATAAGTCACCTATGACTTCACACGTATGTTCTCTTTTACAATCCTTTAATATTCCTCCAAGTGCATATAATTCAATGTTCTCTGAGTTTGATAAAGCAATTACTTATGTTAATGATCTGCTTATTTCTGCTAGTGGTGATGCTAAAAAGTCTAAGACTTTACTGCTAGAAACTTATAGATCTTTGGAATCCAAGAAGGCCAGAATAGAACATTTAGATTTACAAATAACCAATATCATGTGTGATAGAGACAAGTTGAGTTCTAATGTTAAGATTTTACTTAAACAACGAAATATATATTGTAATTCAGTTAAACGTTTGTATGGAAAATTAACTGGGGAAAATGACATACATACCCTATAAAGTTTCTAGGGTTGGTTCATTCGGTCCCTAAGGGTTTTTTGTTTCTTTGTGAGGGCACAAAGTAGGTGCTGACGAGTTTAAATGGTCTCCTTCACCTATGAAAATCGGTTCCTTATGTTAACTCTGCATTTGAAGCAGATGTGTCACCCATGTTATCGTTAGAGTTTGTGCAACATCTACAGTTCCTTAGAGGTATAAAACTTATACCTTGTTCATTCATGTTCTAGATCCCTTTTTGGAGTGAACTAGGGCTTTTTGGAACCATTTTTGGTGACCAATCATGAGTGTAAGCATGGTTGGGGGTCAAGACTCCAAATCTAGGGTCCTTAGGGGATTACATGGCCTGAAGTGACCAGCTTTGTAGCCATTAAGAGCCACATGCACCTTTAGACCTCATTTTTTGGTCCATTAACCAGGGCCGGTCCAAACGTATATGGGGCCTGGGGCGAGAAGAAAAAAAAAAGGCCCCTTAAAGACAAATATAATAAATTTAAAAAAAAAAAACAGTCATTTATTCTTCACTATAAATGCGTTCAATTAGCAGTAACAAGTAAGCCAAATTGTTTATCTTTTAAGCTAGTTTGAGTTTGAACCAACTTTAGGCACTAAAAGTTATTTCGGTAATATTTTTTTTATACATATAAACTATATATCCTAAAAAATTTGGGCCCCCTACAGACGTGGGCCCTGGGCGGTCGCCCGGGTTGCCCACCGTCTAGACCGGTCCTGCATTAAGCTTATACTCCCATGCATGCACGTAAAGTTCATAACTTTACATGCTAGATCGATCTTAGAAGCCCAGATCTGTCTTTTGGATGAGTGTTGTACATCAGAAATCGAGATATAAGACTTGGACATCATCGACTCATCGAGTTGTTCTTGGAACTCGGCGAGTCCAGAGCTTGAGTCCCCTGTCTGTTGTGGTTCAAAGGAACCTAGTTGAATGATAGAAGGGTCTTTGAGGGGTCCAAGGGAGTGACTCAACACATTAGGCTTAGTTTTGTACCTGGGAATCATAGGACTTGGCGAGTGTATGAACAAACTCGGCGAGTCCAAGGCAATCTCCCAACCCCTTTGAAGATGGACTTGACGAGTTGTTCATACAACTCGACGAGACGAATGAAGGTTCATTCGATGATATTATAGAAGGAGAACTCGTCGAGTCTATGCTAAGCTCGACGGGTGGAGCCAGGAGGGGGTCAGATGAAAGAATAGGGACTCGGCGAGTTGGCGGCCTAACTCGGCGAGTCAGGTCAATTGGAAGTTAACTTTAACTAGGATTTGACTTTGGCCAGGGGTAAAATAGTCATTTTACCCTAAGAGTATTTATCAGCTTCTGACTAAGTGTCTTTATGGGAATGTTTCGTCATTTATCTTCACCCACCATGTTATGCATTATAATACATGCATACATAATATCTTGTAGAACGTCTAACTGATATGTTCATGTTGCATGTTCAACTATGTGGCATTTCGACTTCAAAACTCCAAAAGCAAGTTCCACATCCTTACTTGCTCATTCTTGTTTTCTCTTGAAAAAAATTTCTCTTGGTGTTACTAGGTGTCGAAACGCCTTCACAAATATAGAATATGCTGAATATATTCCATCTCTAAGGTAATACCCAAACTTATACTCATTTACATTCACTATGAAAGGAGCATTTGGTGCCTTTCGTGAAAAAATATCATCGAATATTGGTGACTGATCAAGAACGTTCACGTTGTTATTCAAACACGCAACCCCGAAAAAAGCATGTCAAATCCATAAATCTCGGGACGTGATAGCCTCCAATACCAACAAAGGCGTTCCATGCTGACCACTTGCGTACTAGCCTTTCCATGCCACTGGACAATTTCTTCAGTTCCAGTGTGTGCAATTAATGCTTCCTAGCATACCCGGAAAACCATGTCTTTCTTCGCACGCCGCATATAGTTGGTGTATATCATTCAACGAATGTTTGAATAAACGTCACTGAAGGTTTCGACAACGCACATCGCCTATCTATACAAACTTTCTCTTGTAGTTCTCTCAGACGTTCTCATATAGTCATCAATCGAATCATGTGACTCTCTCATTGCCATAAGCTTAATTGCAACAACACATTTCTGCAACCCTGTGAATCCTTGTTTACCTCTAGTGTCATATCTCATTTCTGTTGTGGAGGTACTGCCACGTAGACAATAACTACTCTCCATGGGCCCATACCGACTAGTGTTAAGAATTATGAATAAGAAACAATGTTTGTTTTTATTATTATTATTATTATTATTATATAAAGAAAACTTCTTATTTGGGGTAACGGATATCCTGGGTTGATCGATTTGGGGTTTCATGCTTTCATTATGTGGACCACAGCCAACATAATAAGTTTGAGGACCAAGTTCGTCACTCTATTGCCATGTCATAATTAATTGCACACTTGCCATTATCACTTGTACATCATAAATCTATTAAACCATGCCCGGTAGATGAAACTTGCACACATGGCAATAAAATTGGTTACAATAGGTAAGGTTACCAAATCAAGAGGTTGGGTCTTAGTGATATTATCCATAAATTGTATTATATTCTTGATAAGTTTTGAACATAGTTAGACCATGTTTATTGGTGACCTTCAAAGCAATCGGTTGCCACTTGGATCCTAGTTAGCAAAATCTACTCTATTAAACTATGTCCGGTAGATGAAACTTGCACACATAGCAATAAAATTGATTACACTAACTAAGGTTACCAAATCATCAGGTTGGGCCTTAGTGATATCATCCATAAATTGTATTATATTCTTGATAAGTTTTAGACATAGTTAGACCATGTTTATTGGCAACCTTCAACGTAATTGGTTGCCACTTGGATCCTAGTTGGCAAAATATATATTCTAATAAATGAATGTTTTTTTTTTGTCACATATAACACTTTCATTCAATTTGTCATGTCGTTTTGTGGTTATTTTGAATTAATTTGTTTTCCACATATCATTTTATTAGTTTTTCTATTTTAATAAATTTCATATAATACTTTAATATAATAATTACAATAAATATAGTAATAAATGATTATCAATTTCATTAACAACCTTATATTTTTATTTCAAAATAATCAAATTAAAGTTCATTAGTTTATTTGTTTATTTATTTAAATTCAAAAGATAAAAAAAATCAATTTTAATAATTTAATATTTTTCTTATTTTCTTATAAATCCAAAGTTTTTAAATATTTAGACATTTATATTAAAATTTTTTAATTAACCCATATAATACATTGATCTTACACCTAGTAACAATAATAATAAATTAAATCAACATAGTGTTTAGAGTAAATTACACGAACCATCCTCTGTGCAGGGGTCAAATGACACGTTCGATCCTTATTTTCAAAAATTAACTCGGATCGTCCCTCGTTTGGTTAAATGTTACACACTTCATCCCTCGTTGGTTTAAGTTTGCACGGTTCATCCTTTGTAGGACATAAAATGACTGTATTGCTCTTATTGTTTTATTTTTAATTTATTTATAAATTATCTGTATTTATTAAAAAAGAGAAAAGGCAAAATAAAATCCAACCCACCTCCGTAACATTTAATTCTATACCTCCCTCACCATTTTCTTCTCTAAACCTTTTAGTATAAAACCCTAAATCACGAAATAGATTCTGCCAGAAAAGCGATTGGTTGGAGAAGAGCGGGACAACAACAATATGGTCCGAGAGGAGGGAGGGGGACTACAAACCAAGGTGAAGAAGAAGAAGGAGATGGAGGGTGATAGTGACTTTTGTTATGAGAAGAACATTGTCTTCCCAACTAGTTATATATCACACCAACGGAACCGACCCTAACCATCACTCTCCTTTCTGAAACATCGACACCAACCCCAACCATCACTCTCCTTTCCGAAAATAATATTTAAAAAAAGAATTTTTAGATTTTTCCATTTATTTTGCATTTTAAAATTATTTTTAGATTTGATCTCACGATCTCACAAAATTAGAATGGTTTCAAATGAACCTATATATATATATATATATATATATATATATATATATATATATATATATATATATATATATATATAAAATTTAAAATTTAGGACATAATTTTTTTTTGGTTGTGGATAAATGTCAAAAAAAAATTAAGATTGGTTGTTAGTATTGAGTGTATAGATAGATAAGAAAAAAAAACTATTATTTTAATTTGGTTGTAACCTTTTATTGATAAGCATAGTCTAAGTTAGATGATATATTTTGTATGGTTGGAAATTATACATGTAAGTTTATGGATATGTCAGAGTTACACGAAAAAGTCATGTCAATTTCGATAAATAATAATAATAATAAAAATAAAGAAAAAATTATGTTAAATCAAATATAAAAAATTGATTAGATTGATTTTAAAGGGGGTAAAATTAATTAAAATGATACTTATAGCACAATCCATAATAATAATAATAATAATAATAATTAAAAAAAAAATTCTGAGGCTGGTTATGAAAATGGGTTGATGCAATCCATGTCTTATGCTTGGCCCAAATACAATACGTCCCTGACAAAAGAAAACACATATCCACAACAAATTGATCCTATTTTTTGAAAAAAAGAAATAAAAAACTATTGTTCAGAGAGAGAGAGAGAGAGAGAGAGAGAGAGAGAGAGAGAGAGAGAGAGAGAGAGCATAAACTTAAAAATATATAGTAAAGTTTACTGAAGAGATGAAGCATGATGATCGGCATTGGGTTGGGAAACAGAGACAACAGGAGGCGGAGGAGGGTACTTGATTGCATTAAGACGGATCTTACGGAGGGCAGCCTGACCTAAATCGACGCCGCATATGTCAGAAAGCCTGACCAGATAAAGCAACACGTCAGACAGCTCCTCCCCTAAATGAACCTTCTCTTCTTCTTTCCAGTCTCCCAATCCCTTCGCCACTTCCCCTTTCCATTGAAATATCTCTGACAACTCCCCCACTTCTCCCACCTATATTCATATTATATAATCAAATCAATTATTACCACTTTACCCTTCTATAAAACCCTTTACCTTTACCTTTATTTTATTTTACTTTTTTTAATATAAGAAACGAATCATAATTCTAAAGAAATTGGAATATGTTTTTTCTTTTGATATTATAATATTGCAAAAGTCATTCACTTAGTTGTCATAGTGATGTGTCCAACCACCGACACTTTTATGTGGCCATCCCATCTTCTAGGCAGACAGAATTTGGATTTCTATTGTCAAAACTTAAAAATACCACTTACTTCCATTTCCATTTATTTTATTGGGTACATATATAAATTACTTGTTGTATACGGGTGAAAAATATATTATATACGATCCATATAATTTTATTAATATTTTGCAAAAAAAAATTATTTAAATATTTCAAACAACATATTATATGTTGTTCATTGGATATTTAAAAAATAAAGAAACATGGAAAACGGAAGATTCTCTATCAATAATAATTGGGGGCAACTAATAAAACGTGGTTGAATGTGGAAATATTTACTATAAAATATAAATAAATATACAAATCTTATGGACCAAATCAAGAAGATAAAGAGAAATCCATGTATAATAATAAATAAACAAGGTTAGATTATCTTTTTCAATTATCTTCTAATTTTCTAATGATATTAAGAAAAATAAGAAACAAATGTTCATTATAATATGTGAAAATTAAGCGAAATAACGAAATGAAAAATCGATCTTCTTGTAGTTAAAAAAAAAAAAAAAAAAATTAAATACCAGAACTCAGCAACTAAGTAAACAGAAAACTCGCATAAAATTTGTTGATCGACAATAGATCTAATTATAAGAATTATGATCACCGTTTCAGAATCTGTTCAATCGTCAGAAAATCACAAACTTTCCAAAGTATGATCGTAAGAAAACCATACAGTTCAAAGCACAGCCGCCGGAGAACGAACATATGCGATTCATAAATTAAAAGAACATAAACAGACTGAAAACGAAGACGAAAGAAAACAAGGAGAAGTGAGGTGTAAATTACCAGAGCCAATAGCAGATTTCTTGGGCTATGATATCGCTCCCAATCTCGTTCTTGAGCAAAATCATGCATTTTCTGCTTCAATAGTTTCAGCGTCACAATATCATCTCCTTCCGAAACGCCCGTCATCTATGGCTGAAATCAGTAAGACGTTACAGAAAATAAGAAGAAATCGGAAGAAATGAGTAACCCTAAACAGAAAAAGCCTCTTTATAAATAGAGATTATATATCTAAGTTTACCCTTACTTTCTTGTTAATGGAATAGACACCGACAAGTATTTAATTCATGCATTTACAAACAACATCCTTCAACTATTCGGATATTCGCTAAAACCACCTATATTTTTATGAGTAAATTATAGATTTGGTCCCTATGTTTTGCTCCAATATGCACTATACATCTAACTTTTAAAAAGGCTGACACAACACTTTTTAGCCATACACAATAAATTATGTTTTATATTGTTGTACAGTACAATCATCTAAAACATAAATTGTTATGTATAACTAATAACCATTATGATTTTCAAATCTTGCACTGGAGGTCCTTGAGGTTGTTACTACTTTTAACTCTCAATTAAGGTACTCACTAATAAAGAGAACCCCAAAACATGGCAGTCAATCACTTCTCCCTTACTCCACCACCAAGACCTATCCATCATGTGCCTCCATGCACTAGCAATGGCTCCTCCCTCTTCACAACTAACTCCGACCACCCTCTTTATCACCTATCCTTCTTCTACGACACCAAAGACAAAGATTGAAGGGAGGTTTGGGGTTTCCTTTGCTGGAGAAGAAGTCGATGTTGATGCTGATGTCGTCACCGCTAAGCCCTATTTGATTTTGAATATCAATTTGTCATTCTTATTTATGATGACAGGTAGGTTGTGGACTCATATCATGAACCTAAACACCACTTCCACCTAGGGCCGACCCAAGGGCTGGGCGAGATGGGCCACAGCCCAGGGCATCAACTAAATGAGGGCAGTAAAATTTAAAACTGTTATGGCCTTTATGGGTGTATCTCATTTCATTTGGGTCAAACTTTATATAAAATATAAAAGTCCAATAAAAGGGATTAAGGGAAGCGTCAAACTAAAGCAGAACTATTGTGAAGTGAAGGCGGCAATTAAACATTTTAATAGGATAAAAATCTCACGCCTATACTCTTAACAACAGAAAACGAAGAGATAGGGCAGAAAACGAGGAGACGGTGAGACATGGAAATGGGGTATAAGATCTAGTTGTATAGGAAGAAGTGCATAAAAACTCACACATTTGTCCTCGATCTTTCTCTAATTCTTTTCCAGATCCGACCACCACCACACCCGGTCGATCTCTCATAGACGACGACCTGTTAGCAAAAAATATATTCTTTTAGCTTACTCTTTCTCTTTTTCTTCATGTTTTGGTTCTAGATCTTTTTATGATTCTTCATGCCGATTAGCCTCGATTGAAGATTTCATTGGGTGCAAAGCAACCAAAATTATTTTCTTTGGGTTTTGCTTTTAGCCTTTCGGTATAAATTAAGTTTTAAATATCCTCGCCTGATGCTATGTATCCAGCATTTCACTCCTTAGTTTCAAGTAATTCATATTTCTTATAAATGTTTGTATCATGCCACTGACCGAATGAATAGAGATTTACTCTTAAGTAACAATTATGTTGATGGAAACACAAAATGATCTTATCTACCTTTGCCATATCATAGATTTTACAAAATGTCTTACCATTGTCGTCTTAGTGTTCAATGTCAAAATTAAACATCAACTTTTTTTCATTGATTTTATTTCAATGGCATATTCAACAAATATAACATATTCAATCTTTTTTCCTGTTTACTTTAATTACTAAACTTGAGTATGTGAATATGACAGAATTGCAAGACAACTGGTTTGGCCATTTGGTTTAAAGTCAATAAAATTTTGACTGGAGCAACCCCTCCAAAAGTATGTTACAGTGATAGATCATGATTCTTTTATATTTCCTTACCTTTGTGAGTGAAACTTTGATTACATAGGCGTTTTAGGATTTTCATCCTTCATACACGTAATTTGTTATGAAAATTAAGAATCGGAATCATCATATGGAGATCCAGGGAAGTGTTGGGATTGGTTTTAGGCTTAGAACTATAAAAGCAATCTTAAAATATACCAAATGTAATTTCCATTAATCATATCTATAGATTACTATGACTCAAAACATTTTCAAATAATGTTTCTTACAAACTTAAATTTATATAGAATTGGTATAAAAAAAAAGGGGGCATAAGTAAACATCTTTGCCCACGGCATGGTAAAACAATGGACTGGCCTTGCTTCCACCACTGTCATCTTCATATTCTCTGGTGGCAGGTAGGTGGTGGACTCATTTTGATGAATAGAGATCTCGATCGGAAGACAAATCGGGTACCTTCATCTCCATTTGATCTATAACCAAAATCTTAAATTTACATGCAGATACTTGGGGATGGTGGTCTCAAATATGTGTATATAGAGCCATAAATTATAGACCTTTCAAATCTATTTTAAAAAATGTGTTGGATTTTTATGATTTTCTTTATATATCAAATGTATATTTATGCACATAAAGAATATCTCACGTTTACAACCCAATTAGCAATATTTGTTATGATTTTTTTAGTTTCTAATGTTGAAATTTTATTTCCAATTTATAAATTTTAAGGTTTTTTCATGTGGTTGACAAAAGGATGGGCACAACCAACCATTTGATTCATGGGTTATATTTTTGGATTTTTAATTTTATTACTGTAGATTTTTGTGCCAAATTTGCAATATGGATGGCATTATAACTTGGTTAAAGACTATTGATATTAAATGGATAGTCAGAGAATATGAAACTGATGATTATGAATGGGTCACTTTAGAAAAAGTGAGGGAAGAGCGTAAGGTGTGTTATTTTACAAAAACGATCCATTTAACACCTGTAGATTCAGGCTAGTCAATTTAGAGATAACAAACGTTAAAAATAACTTTTTGATAGAAGATTATTTTAGGACAAATAATCTTAACAGAAATTATAGTATATATCTAACAAGGATTCTGGAGATATGAGGAACATTGAAATCCGACTTATTACAAAGAAAGTTATGACCCGTTACAAGTGTTCCAAGAAGATTCTTCACTAATATCACCAATCCTTGGTAAGTTGTTGCTTAGATCCATGGCTTAGCTTCTTGATTACTTCAAAAATCTCCTATTAACTCATGTAAATTTGTGATCTTGCTTCTTAGAACCCTTCTAAGCCAAAGACCTCTTAAGAAGCTTGCTAGGCCCGAGAATCACATCAACTTCTTCCATTTCTTCTTCAAAACCGAGAACTACTAAGAAAGGTGAGTTCATACCCCCATTGTTTTTGGTTTTTACTTGTTTTTGGGGGGAGAATACAAGTGTTATGTGTTGATCTATGTGTGTTTGCATGTTATAAGTGGTTTCTTTGATTTATGTTGTGAAAAATTATGTTAATAATTATGTTAATACATGCTATATCACGAGATATATAGCCAAAGTGTGAAATATTCATAATGAAAAACATAATAAGACAACATACTTCAAAGATCTAAGAGTCTTTATGTTTAAGAAGTGAAAACAAAGCCAAAAATCTTTATAAGTGTTATTTTTGCAAAAATAACAAAGATTTGGGTAAAATATGATATTTTAAGTTTTATAAGGATAAAATAGTATTATTTACATAAAAATCTGACTTTTACGAAAATAACACTTCTTAAGGGGGCAAAAATATAAATTATAGCTTATCGGGCTTACATTTGGGTCTCACGAGTTTTTGGGCCCAAAATTGTAAAAATGAATAGTTTTGGGGTTGAAACTGTAAATTAACTTAAAGTATGAGTCAAAAACACAAACAAACAATTTCAGGGGCTGAAAATGATCTTTATTACAAGAGTTGGACTAAGATGCAAAGTTTTTGGAATTTTGATAAAAAATGTAAAACTTACGAAATTTAGGCCAAAAGCGTAAAGTGTTTATAAATAAGGGTTGTTATCAAATAATATATTGTAATATAAATTATGTTTTGGTCGAAAAAGCCAGAAAAGTAATTTAAGGACCAAAAATGTTATTTTTCATCAAAAGGGACTAAAAATGTCATTTTTATTAAGAAATGGCTAAAAATGTAACTTTATATGAAAAACGGGCTAAAATAGTCAAATAAATATTCTGAGGTCAAATATATTAATATTAAAACAATTGGTCCAAAGATATTAAGTTTATAATACATGGATATATATATATATATATATATATATATATATATATATATATATATATATATATATATATATATATATATATAACCAAAGTGTCGTTACAATCCAACGACAAGTGTTTTACTAGTGAAAATAAATACTAAGCGTAAAACGAATTCTATATTACAAACACATCGAATAACGAAGAAATGATACAATGATTGGGCCTAATGCTACTCATTGTGTCCATCGGGCCTTTGTGGTCCAATTTCACGATTATTAGGCCCAATATAATCAAAACATGTTTATTGGGCTTCCGGTGACCCAATTACATGCCTACGGGACCCTCAATGGCTTTTACATGCTATTGGGCCTTAGTGGCCCATTTGCATTACTAGTATGGTCAATATCAATCATATGCTTGATGGGCTAACGTCTCCATAAGCATACTCGACAGCCTATAAATGACACACATGATTAGTGGGCCACAATGTTCTTTTTCGTGTTTGTTAGGCTTTACTCTATACTATGTGAACATCAAAATGGTTGTAATCAATTTCATTCAAATTCATGGGGTAATATTTGGGGACTTAGTGAGAAAATATCAGTCGACACCAATAAGTGTCGGTCTAGTCTGTAAGTTGTAACCAGAGTCTCCTGGAGGGAGAGCAAGAGTTTGTGTATAGATCTATACGGGCGTGACTCCCCCACACCTGAGTTGTTCACTACAGTTAGACTCGACCAATCTAGGGTGACAAAATCTTAATCAAAACCGACATTTGTAAAAATGCCAAGATAGAAGAAATAGTCATTATCATGCATGGTTATAACGTCTCATATAGAGATACATTACAATTTTATCAATCATGGGAAATTAGCTTCATACATGGTGGCTATTTAATGTGGTTATGCGATAATACAAAAACATACTACTATTTTGAATTGGAAAATATCGGATTTTCTGGGAAATTTATATCATTTATTTTAACTCATCAAATACAATAAAATGACCACTTT